ATGCTATGCTGACGACATGCTCGGGGCCAGGGGACTGCCGTGCGTTTTGTTTTAAGTTGCCACCGGGATCAGAGACCAAACCACCTGCGTTTGTGAAAGGGCAGAGATGGACCGATTGCCTTTCCTGCCTTAGGAAGCCTGTTGGAAAAGCACTCTGCTCCCCAACCTGTCCGGTGTATGGGGAGAAAATCTGATTTCACAGAGGGATTTGTCGCCTGGGACCTGACCCTGGCTTCAGGAAATGGAAACCATTACATTGCAATCACAGGAGGGTAAAAAAAAAAAAAAAAATGCCTACAACAAACAGCTGATCACAGTAGGAAGCAAATACCGACAAATGAAATCTAGAACATTCAAAAAGCAACCAAACCCATGTTTTAGGGAAGTGGTGGGAGGTTGGGGTGTTCACCCGGAGCAGCCATGAGGGTGCTGGGGGTCACTGACAAGCAGCCCAAGCCATGTGCATCTTGGGGAGCTCGCTGGGACCCCATTCCTTCAAATTTGGGAGCTGGGACATGTGGAGTCCTGTCATGGGAACGTGGACCTCCGGGGAGCCTAGAACATTGGATGACCCCACTCGTGACAGCAACTTGGAGCCCACCTTCCAGGGACATGAGCCCCCGGGAACACAGCTTCAGGGGCCAGAGCCAACACTTGAGACACTTCCCACCTACACGGGTGAAGCAGGCTCAGGGTGACCTCGTGTAAAAGGTATAAAATCACGATCCATTTGGCATAGCCCCACAGGCCAGCGATGGAACAGGCCCTGTTTACTAGTCTTACAGGCTAGATAGGCAGAATAGACATTCCTCTTGGGGCTTTTTCCCATTGCTCAAAAGGCATGCGCCTGAAGTATGTTCCAGTTTTGTTTAATGGGTTTCAGTAAAAGAAGACGGAATTCGAGGGGTTGTTTTTATTTTTTATTTTCATTTATTTTTTATTTTTTCGAGGGGTTGTTTTTAAACAAAATGATGAACTTATAGATGCCCAGTACAAGAGATTGGCAGTGCTAACTGTGGAGGTCACAGGACAGAGCTGAAATGCCCAATCGTGCTAAGAGAAAAAGAGCACGCCCCACCCCCCCCATGTGCTATCTGTGGTCCCTCGTGTCACCTAGACAGTCTGTGCAGTGAACCCCCAAGCTTCATCTCTGTTCAGACCTAGAGGAGCAGGTGGGGTCTGGAGAGCCAGCCCTGTTAATCTCAAAGCAAGTGACCTTTCTAAATCCATGGGGAGCCACTGGCCTCCAGCACGGCCATCAAGGTGGCTCTGTCTTTGACTTCCCCTCTGACCTCAGGCACTGCCTTTTGGATCTGTTCTTAATCCTGCAGAAATGGCCTTTCCCCCAAGGCAATGGCACTGATTTTGACTTTCAACCCCAGAGCGATCCAAGGGCATTTTTCCTGTTTATGTTTTAAAAAAATAAATGAGAAAAACCTAAGAAGGGTAAGGACGAAGAGTACATAGAAGGGTGAGGAGAGAAAAGGACACTCAAGTGTTTCGGGGAAAGATATGTGTTTGCCACATTATTTATGAGAGTGAAGCATGAATCAACTTGAAAGTCTCAAAGGAAAACATTAATTCAATGGAATTTGATCCAACCACCCAATGGGAAAATATACTGGCACTAAAAAGCAAGTTTCAAAAAAAACCACTTAACAATATGAGCATGTTTATGTGTTAGTGACAAATGAAAAAAGATGGGTACTGACTGTGGTTGTGCTTTGATCCCAATTCTGAAAAAATATACATGTAACCGTATTTCCATATTGACTCCCATATATACTGAAAAGAGCCTGGAGAGGAATTTGCAAAAATACTAAGTGTGCCTTCCCTCTTAAGTGGTGGGGTATTACTGATTTATGTTTCCTCTTCACACTTCTATGAGTTTCTGACATCTTTTTAATGAGAAATAAAGTTTTTCAATTAGAAAAAAAAAAGTGTAATACTGAAAATATTTTTGAAATAAACTCCAAGTTATAAAATTAATTAGACGATCTCTTTCTGAGATCTGGGCTTGTGCGCAGAATGTCCCGTCAAATCAGACATGATTCTTGCATGTGTGTGCTCCAGCCCACGAATTCGTGTACAGAATGAACATGCTGGGAGTACAGACCCGCCGTCACACCGAGTGGGGCTGTGCTCCAGGGACAGATGACCCCCTCGCGGGACTGTGGGAGACTGAAAATGGAGAGCTCCCTACTCCAAGTGCTGCTTCGAGACGAAAGGCCATCTCATCCAAAAGCGCGCACACACACACACACACACACACACACACACACACCGTCTCCTATAAACATGCTTAGGCATAAAGATGTGCATCCTGACAGGACCCCTCCCCACCCTCCCCAGATGCATGTCTCATAGGTGTTGAACTCCACAAAGCACCTGTAGGAGTTTGTCCGCTTCTAGTGGGATCTCTGTAGTAACAGTGGTCGGGTCCTCGCTGTCCCCCAACCCACAATATGAGTCACTAGGCTTATGTCGCAGATAAAAACCTCCAATGGCACTTCTCAGTTTCCAAAAACAAACTGATAAAAATTAATGTTTTAGCGATATGGCGAATTTTAAAAAGAGCTTTAGCAAAAAAAAAAAAAAAAAAAAAAAAAAAACAAAGAATTCCCTGGCTTCTTGGGGAAAGCCTTCCTTCCCCTGCACTCACTCAGTCTCTGTTTCCTTCATAGGCAAGCACCGGAATCCCATTTACGCCAGGGAAACCATCCTGGGGCGCAGCGATGTTGACAGACGGTCCTGGGCTTTGCAGTCAATCCACGGGGCAAAAAACACATTGCTACTAGTTACGTTAGGAGATCCTGACTGATGACAAGTTAATTACAATTTCCATTTAAAAAAATTTTTTAATGTTTTCTTATTTATTTTTGAAGGAGAGAGAGAGACAGAACATAAGCGGGGGAGGAACAGAGAGAGAGGGAGACACAGAATCAGAAGCAGACTTCAGGCTCCGAGCTGTCAGCACAGAGCCCCATGCGGGGCTGGAACCCCTGAACTGTGAGATCATGACCTGAGCTGAAGTCAGATGCTTAACCGACTGAGCCACCCAGGCGCCCCTAAAATTTTTTTGTTTTAATGTTTATTTATTCTTTGAGAGAGAAAGAGAGAGCACAAGCAGGGGAGGGGCAGAGAGAGAGGGAGACCCAGAATCCGAAGCAGGCTCCAGGCTCCGAGCTGTCAGCACAGAGCCCGACGCAGGGCTCGAACCCACGAACTGTGAGATCGGGACCTGAGACGAAGTCAGATGCTTAACCGACTGAGCCACCCAGGTGCCCCAACAATTTCCATTTTTAAATTTACCTTGTTCAGTTCTCTCTCACTGAATCCTTTCCGGAAGTCCTCTCTGGAAGGTTCTTCTCATTACTGGCACACATGCTTATTTTACACTCCCCAGTAATGGGAGAAAGCGAGCTGCGTGGAAATGCACGGACCCGGGGGTGCCGAGCTTAGGCTGTGCTGAGGCCTCTGCTCCTGGGACGCCGGCTCAGCCCCTCCCCCACGTCTTAGATCGGGACAGGACCCTGGTGTCATTTAGTACAATGGAGTCAAACCCAGTTTTCTTTTCTACAAGTACAAAACAGACAATTTCATAGCCCCTAAATAAACACGTGTGCATTGTACCCACACGCATACGTTCACACGCACTTAAGACTGAAGAAGTCAATATGTACAATGAGGTTAGACTGCACACCACTGTGATCACAGTGCGTAGCACGTCTTCTGTACGGGACGATGTTGAAGTACAAGTGGAAGGCGCGCTGACGACATTTACTGTCCCACGGTACTGTCCTCGAGACACAGGTGGCCCCGGGCTTGGTGAGCAGACCCGTGGTGATGCCAGAGACCCAGGCCCTCCATTCTTTCTGGCCTGCCTCCTTGGCCAGTGGGAGGTGAGGAAATGTGTCCGTCGAGGCCACAGTCAAGCCTGGGCCGTTCTAGGGGTCATATGCCTGTGACCTCAACTTTCAAGGAAGACGGATGTTGCCTCTTGAACTCCTGAGCTTTTAAAAGCAAAGGAAGCCTTTCCCAGAAGCCTAAGGGCAGGTTGTTCTTTGGGTCGACCTGACCCGGACGGGATTCTGTGCCATGTGAAGGTTGTCCCGGAGACATGTCACTGGGGTGAGCGGGGTGGGACAGGTGGAGGGGCGAGCCAAGTGTTAGCCACCCACCGTGCCTGCCCACCGTTCCCTCCGTCTGTGAGATTCCATGAGGCCAGTGAGATTAGACATCCATGGGACTCTCAGCAAGAGTTCACATCTACGACGAACCTACTCAGGTCTGGAAGTCTAGCCATGCTTTGCCTACAGACGTAGACAGAGCAACACAGGACACACTTAGGGACACAACTCCTGTGTGGGGTCCATCCAAGCCCATGGTCAGCCACGGGGAGCCACGGATGGAGCTGAAGCATGGCTTGCTGTCTGTGCCTGTGAATTGTTCTCCCATTATTGTGACCCCTGTACGTTTCTTTCCTGAAGCCGGGCACCCCTACTCCCGCTGATGGCCCGTGTCAGGCAAGAGCCCCCTCAGCCTCCGACCACCAAGCCTGAGACCCCAGACCTGCCCTCCCTGTGACAGGGAGGAAGCGTCCCCGCGCTGAGACCAGAGGCTGCTTTCCTGCCGGGGACCACGTACCCTTCCTTGTATAAAGTCTCCGCTTTGCCACATACATCCTCTCTCTTCTGCAGTATTTTCCATCTCCTGGATTGTTTTCATGTGCACGCGAACATATTCTAATATCTCCTTCTAAAATCGGGGCGCCTGGGTGGCGCAGTCGGTTAAGCGTCCGACTTCAGCCAGGTCACGATCTCGCGGTCCGTGAGTTCGAGCCCCGCGTCGGGCTCTGGGCTGATGGCTCAGAGCCTGGAGCCTGTTTCCGATTCTGTGTCTCCCTCTCTCTCTGCCCCTCCCCCGTTCATGCTCTGTCTCTCTCTGTCCCAAAAAAATAAATAAACGTTAAAAAAAAAAAAATTAAAAAAAACCCAACAAACAGATGCCCTGCTGTCTTGATCTTACGCCCTTGTTCAGTTTGACTGTGTCTTCATTCCAAACGCCTTGGGATGGCTGCCCCGCCGTCCCGCCGTCCCTCCGCCCCTTCCGGCTGTTCTCTCCTGAGTTGCCTTGAAGAAACCGCGTGCCTCACCTCTCTGCCTACCCAGCTCCTGCCGAGGCCACCGCGACCCCCCGTCAAGCACCGTGCTGGCGTCCTTCGCCTCTGTGCCCCTTGGCACTGCTGGTCCTCTGGCTGCAAGCACTGTCCCAGCTTGGCTGCCAGCATCGCTCACCTGTCCCTTGTCCTCGCCAGCTCCCCGGCTGCCTCGTTCCCGTCATTCCTACTGGCTCCTCCTGGATGCGAATTCTGGGGCGATTCGAGGGCGTCTTCTCACGCCCAGCTGCACTGTCCCTCAGCGACTGTGTCCACTTGGCCACCCTAAGGAGCATCACTGTGCACAGAACTGTGGATCAAGTAGCCTGGGCCTGGCTGAATGCCCCTGCGTGGTTGCACGTCCGTGTCCCACGGGCACTGCAGCCCCAGTGTCCAAAGGTGTCCTTGATCTCCTTTGCCTCAGACCTGCTGCACACATTCTCTACCTTTCGAAATGAACAGGTCCGCCATTCTCCCGTGCTCAGGTGGGAAACACAGGGCTATCTCTTTCTTTCACCCCATCGCCTGCCCCCAACACCTCTCTCCCTGATCCCGGGCCCCTCCCTCACCCACAGCCTGTCCCCTGAATCACCTGCTCTTACCTGGGTTACTGGAAAAGCCTGTTGGCCTCTCCTCTTGTCTTGCCGCTTGACAAGGTAAGGGCAGCCAGGGAGGGCTTTTCAAATGTAACTCATATCACATTTCACATTATTCTGATCATCATGTGCTCCCAGTGGCTGTCCCTTGCCAACAATAAAGTGCACACACACACACACACACGCACACTCACACACTCACACACTTTCCGCTGTGGTTCTCAAGAGACAGCACGGAGTGTCCGTTTTATCAATGGAAAAAAACCCTGAGCCCTTTCTGGCCATAACGCGCTCAGGCCGTCACGTAATCCTGTGTGTAATAATAACTAAAGTTTTAAACCATTCAATCCCTGTGTGGCAGGAAGAGTTCCAAGGCAGGTGCTATTATTGTTCTCATTCTGCAGATGAGGACACTGAGATTGAGATGCTTCGTGAGCTGTCCGGGTGACACAGCCACAGGCACCGGGACCCCGTGGTGAGCCCGTGCAGCCCGGTTCCATGCAGTCGGACCCTGGATGGGGGAGGTGAGCACACTGGAGACTGAGCTGGGAGAGCTGCGCTGGACGTTTATGGAGGGGAAGGGGCAGCCTGCCCACGGGAGCTCCCAGGGATGCGGGGAGGGGCCGGGCAACTAGGGATGGGACCCCAACGAGGGAGTGTGACTGGGTGAAGGCAGCCGGCTTACTCCTGTGGACCGCGCTCAGGGGCCAGGGAGAGGTCCTCTGGTCCTCACCAGCTGTCTGAGCAACGCATCTCTGCCTCCACTGGGGACCCCGCGCTGTTGGCACCAAAGCCATCACGTCACCGCCGCGCTGAGCACGCAGCCTCCATGCCCGTCGGTATCAGGAGAAGAAAAATGCTTTCTGTTCCACGAGCACCTGTGGCTGCTACAGGCTCACTTCCCTGGGACAGACCAGCCTCCTTCGCCACCCTGCGCCCTTGAGTTTGTGTCATCTCAGAGCCACAAGCCTCTTCTCCAGAAACGCCCAACTGGCACTCATGCCTTCTTGCATTATGAATGGAAACAACGTGCCTCTTTTCCTGGGGAATTTTGAGGACTAACCAGTGGAATTGAAAGGGGTGATTTGGTCATGGGGGTAAAGCGGCCTTTGCTAACAAAATGGGTTTGCGTTTCCTGTGGCCACGCCCAGGGCCGCTTCTGTCCAGCTTTCACAGTGAGGTGTGTTATCTGAGCCCAGGGAACCGAAGGAGATGGCTCGAGAGGTTAACGGGAGGGAAGGGAAAAAATCGACTCTTCCACCCAAAATACCGCCGTTGCGTTGATAGCGGCCATTTTAAGATTAGGAAACAAAGCTTCCTATGCTGTTGTGTCCACTTCTGCCAACCAGAGTTTGTTTAATTTTTCCCCCCTCTGGATGCAGAGATCGTGATTAATCAGCTAGCCAAGCCAGGTTTTATGAGATCGGGTTCTCCATAGCTACAAATGGGTCGTGGCTGCTGTTTATCCTTACGGTCGTGGCATCAGCAAAACATAATGTGAAAAGCTGGAGCTGAAAAGTGGTTTCGAATGGAACGTAGATGACTGTTTAGTGGGTGGGTCAGTCAGAGCCCGTGTGGCGGTGTTGACAGCAGGGTGTGGCCAGAGTTCTGTCACGCTGTCCTGGGCTATGTGACCCCTCGCTCCTATGGAACAGTGGGGTGTCAGTCCCCGATCGTTCTGGAATTTTCATGCTGGGGCCCAGGGGCGGCATTATGGTGAGAAATTGGACTGGGGTCGTGTCTCGAAACTGTGTTTCCATGGCGAGAGATTTTATTTAGTTGGTTTTATTTGGGACATTTTTGGGGGGGACCTGATGGAGACTCAAGGGACTAGGCCTTCTCTCCTTGTGGCCGCTCTGAAGGTACACATCTCCGAATTCCAGAGGCTACCTGCACAAGTGGACATGTCATCTTATAGACAGAAGCCACACGTGAACACCCCCCACCCCCGCTCTTCCCCAGCTGTGCTAGCATCACAATGTGGAACCTGATGTGAGGAGCTCAGACGTCAACCAGCCTTCCTTCTTTAGACGCCTAGGGCTCTACCGCCAAGACCTCTGTATTCTCAGACCCTCAGGCCAAGGCCGTGTCTTACTCTTCCTTTGTTGCAATTTCCGTCTTCATTCGGATGGTTTCTAAGATACTGTTTTAAAAAAGCCTTTACCTGGAAGTAATTATTTCTTTCTCAACAATGTGCCAAAAAGTAGCTCTGAGTTTCTGATGTTTATTTTTTAGAAATATTTTCGGGTTGACTCTCAAAACACGTTTATATAGATTCACAGCTGCTAGCTCCCCAGGACTTTTACCTTGCTCCCCCTTTCCCAGGGAGACCAAGGCCCCATCCTCTGGGCTGAGACCATGACCATCTGGTGCAGGGTGTCATCTCCGGCATCTGGAACGTTCAGACATCTCCTCAGGATGGATGTGTGCAGGAATCACAGGAAAACCTGGGGACGGAGATGATTCATTCAGAACCTTTTAAAGCCTAAAGCGGGTGGTATTTTCTGAGAAGCTCTTTGAGGTGCGTCAAGTTGAAGCAATCAAAAAACAGTCACAGTGAAAAATAAGGCTATGAACTTGACTTCTACCTATATGCAATACATTAAGCCTAATGGAGATATCCAAAGCATGCATTTGCTCTAGTGAGTTTATTTCCTTATTTCCCATCTATTCTAGAAATGGTCTCAGATGCTTACAGTAAAGGCGGAGCTACAAGGTTAGTAAAGTATGCCTGTAGCATCGGGAACGTGGAAAGTAGAGGCAAATGCACCGACATTATGGTGTAATAGGGGTGTGGCAACAAGAGCAAAAAAAGGCAACACACAACATGGGACCCACTCACTCGACAAATACTTGTTTAAACCCTGTTACGAACCACACTCCGAGGTGCGCGATATGGCGAAGGACAAAGGACTCATTTGTTGGGATTCATCCTTGCCTCTTCCCCTTTCCCCAAAAGACAAACATGGCTTTACTGAACCACACTGGTAAGTGACTGTGGAGACTCTAGAATTTTGCCCCGTGGATAAGGGGATGTATTTCTCCCCTCTAAAATTTGAGAACAGATATTCTGAATCACCTTCACCATGGAAAAACTTCAGTATCAAGGCCACGGAACATGCCAGTGTGAGTGACGGGGTCCCTGGGGTGGATCTCACGTTTGCCCAGAACACACACACGGATGGACAGCACTCTGTCACAGTTTAGGACATATGGCATGATTTGTATGATGAAAATCATTTTATTTTATTTATTTTTTTCCAATATATGAAATTTATTGTCAAATTGGTTTCCATACAACACCCAGTGCTCATCCCAAAAGGTGCCCTCCTCAATACCCATCACCCACCCTCCCCTCCCTCCCACCCCCCATCAACCCTCAGTTTGTTCTCAGTTTTTAAGAGTCTCTTATGCTTTGGCTGTCTCCCACTCTAATAATTTTAAAAGACCTACTGTAGGGGTGCCTGGGTGGCTTAGTCGGTTAAGCGTCTGACTCTTGATTTCGGCTCAGGTCATGATCTCACAGTTCGTGAGTTGGAGCCCCATGTCGGGGGGATTCTTGCTTGAGATTCTCTCTCTCCCTCTCTCTCTGCCCTTCCCCCTGCTCCCTCTCTGTCTTTTACCCAAAATAAATAAATAAACTTTAAAAAAAATTACAAAAAGACCTAATGTAAAGTATGGACTTTGGGTGACAATGACTTGTCCAGGAAGGTGCGTTGATGGTGACAGGTGCACTGCTCTGGGGTCGGGTGTTGATGGCGGGGATGCAGTGCGTGTGTGTGGCGGGGTGTATGGGAGCTCTCTGCGCTCCCGCTCGGTCTTGCCGTGTACCTAAATCTGCTCTACAAAGTACAGTCTATTCAAACATCGACAATGACAGCAGTGATAAAAGTATTCGAAACCCAAGGTTTCCCTCACCGTGTTCTCCGGCCTCAAATACGCACCCTCGCTGGCCCCCCTTCCCCCGTGCCACGTCTGTGCTGCCCCCTTCCAGTTCTGCCCTCAGCTATTGAACTTCAGATCTTTCCATCACGTGTCAAAATAAATACAGTCTCTCAGTTATAGGATACCTTTATCCTCCCTCGCTGCCCGCAGACTTCACAGGAGACCATACCTTTCGTCTCCACAAGAAGAAAGAAGGCTGTGATCTCCATATTGCAACACTTTTATTTACCTTATCTGTAATATAATTAATAGATGACTATGCGGCGATCAAGGCCGTTTCAAAGAGAATGAGACAGCTTCATATGAAACTTGCTCTTTTGAATCAGTCCAGGACTCTATCAAAGTCTGTGTGATAATTTCATGTAAATCCTGGTGTTCGAATCTGTATCTTTTAACCTGTACCTACCATTTTTAACACAGTGCATTTCAAAGACATCGGAGCCTGGTCTAATTTGTATTACAGAATTTTAGTATAATCGGCAAGCAGCACATCACACTGATTTCTTGGAATTACTGTGGAAGCTCCTTATAAAGACATTCACGGATGTCTCAGATGGTCCTCTCGCAAGGGCTATGATGGGGGAAACCACATCCTTAGGTTAACACCTTCTGGCTTCCGGCAGTCAAGATCCTGCCACGGATATTTGGATTGTGAAACAGGTCCGGAGGTCTTGTAGCATCTAGAGTTGCCCCACCATGGGCACGAACAATTGTAACCCATCACCATTTGGACCTCCAGTTATTTGTTTAGCGATTCTCCTTTGCTTAATTGGGACAAATAACGTGTTTTACAAATTTTGATTCCGTCAGCATTACTGTTCCTCTCATCGGTCCATCTCCTGGGCTTTCCTACTCATTCACTCACCAGTGCAACTTACAGCCACAGACGTTTACGTGCTCACAGGTCTGGAGGCCAAAAGTCCAAAGTTAAGGTGTCATAAGACTGCGCTTCCCACCTCTTTCAGCTCATGGTGGCTCCAGGGGGTTCTCAGTTTGTGGCCGCGTCACCCCGGTCCCTGCCTCTGTCCTCACCTGGCCTCCTTCCCTGTGTGTCTGAGACTCAAATCTCTCTTTGACTCCCTCATGTAAGGACACCTGTCATTGGATATAGAGCCCAGCCTCAGTCCAGGATGGTCTCATTCAGAGACTTTTCTTTTTTTTTAATTTTTTGTTTAACGTTTTGTTTATTTTTGAGACAGGGAGAGACAGAGCATGAACAGGGGAGGGTCAGAGAGAGGGAGAGACAGAGTCCGAAACAGGCTCCAGGCTCTGAGCCGTCAGCACAGAGCCCGACGCGGGGCTCGAACTCACGGACCGCGAGATCGTGACCTGAGCCGAAGTCGGACGCTTAACCGACCGAGCCCCCCAGGCGCCCCTCACTCCGAGACTTTTAACTATCATATTTGCAAAGACCCTTTTCCCAAAGAGGTCGCATTTACAGGTTCTGGGAGTTGGGGCTTGTGCTTAACACTTTGGGGGACACTACTCAACCCAGTGCACTGGGAAAGTTCTGGGACTAAGTCCTCAGCCTTCAGGCCCTCTTTAAAGTGTGAGGATACATTTTCCTCAAGTTTGCAGCTCTGGGGTTCTGGCAGAAGCTTCCGGACAGGAGGCCAGTCCCACTGCGCACCCTGGAGCATGACGGCACCCCGTGCCATCCTCACTGGCCCCGGGCCTGGTACAAGCCTGCCCGCTGGCTCTGCCCCAGCGCAAGGGGCTCGGAAGGGCCGTCCGCCCCATCGTGCCGAGGGGCGCGAGCCTCGAGACCTGACCTGAGCCGGGAGGACGGTCCCGTCCCTGCTGCCACTCAGTCATGGTTCACTGGACCTGTGTCCCTGGGCCTCACCCCTGCTGCCCTGGGAGGTCGTGGGGGAGGACGCTTGCCCGGCTGCTGGCAAAGGGGCTTCTTGGGAGGCAGCCAGCTCCTAAACTCACCCCCCCCCTTTCAACAACTCACGAAGGGAGAAGCAGGAAGGAGAATGAGTTAGTGCTTTGGTGGCTCCCCCGACACCCAGGAGCACCTGGAAAGTGAGGTGTGTGCAGAGCACCATCCGGGGAGCACTCAGCTCTGACCCGAGGCCTGTGGAGCTGGGGGTGGGGACACGGGAAAAGCACTTGGTTGCGTGGGCCCGGGAGGGGGCGGGGCGGGCCGGAGTTGGGGGCCGTGGGGGAGGGGAGCTCTTATGGGAGCGGTGGGGGGCGGGGCATTCTTGGGGGGCAGTGGAGGGAGGCGATGGAGGTTGAGCCTTGCTGGGTGTAGACTTCTTGAGTCTTGTGGAGTGAGGACCCTGGGAGTGTCTTCTTGGTGGAGGCACCAAGAGCACATGTCGCTGTCGCCAGTGGATTACAGTCCACGATGAAAGGATTTAGCTAAACTGCCCTTCAGAGTGTTGCTTTTAAGCGGGAACGTCTTGCACCGAATGGCTGGGCTGCCTGTGATCTGGGTGGAGAGTCACCCCCTCCTCATGTGGCCCAAGGTGAAACCGGGGGGGGGGGGGCGCCTTTGACTCCGAGAAACACCTTGGTGGGAACCACCTGGGCACCGCTGTCTCTCCCCCTGCGCCCCCCCACTCCGAGGGCCCACTCCTGCACTTGTGTGCGGTCGGTCAGAGCCCTCGAAGGGGGATCTGGCAGTCCCCCCTCTTGCCCGCGGGTCTGGGCTCCGGTCGGTCACGTGGTGATGGAGGCCCTGCCGCCCCTCGAGGTCAGGGTCCTCCCCAGCAGTCAGCCCCCGCCGCGCCGGGAAGCAAAGCGGGCAGCAGGGAGGCGCGTGTCCACCGTCCTGCGTGGACCAGGAGGGCCCGGTGGCTGAGCCCGGGTCTTCCTCCCGACCCCGTCTGTAGGGACAGGCTGGAGCGGCCGGGCTGTCCCGGGCCCCCTGGCGTTGCTAGAGTGGCCCTGTCTCTGTCTTTGCTCCCCGTTCTCCAACAGCGGTCATTTGAGCTGGAAAGCTGGTGGAAGACCTAGAGTCCAGAAATGAGTAGAAACCGTGCAGCTGGCCTAGAGCATTTGGAAATCTCCACCCTGCCTTTGGAGTCCCCGTTTTGGACGCGATTTGTCAAGGGCTGTGACATCAAGCCCCCGAGTGCTGCGTGTGCCTCTGGAGGACAGAGGTCAGAGGTCAGCATCCCCGCGGAGGATGACACGGATCAGTGTCCCCAGTGCAAGCCCAGGACACGGGCTCCCCAGCCTCGATGGAGGGGCCCTGGAAAAGGCTGCGTGGGGCTGTCGGGGGCAGGCTCCCTGCACCCCCTTCCTTATCACAGGAAAACAGCTTGGGCATTGGGCTCCAGAGGGCCGGCTGGGCAGGGGAGGCCGGGGGCGGGGGCTGGCAGAGACCTTGGCTGCCACGTTCCTCTCCCAGGATGCCCCCCGCCCCCCCAAGAGCCTCAGCTCTGTTTCGCCCCCTCGCCCAGAAGGGGTGCCGAGGTGGGTACTGCTTCCAGAAATGTGGAAGCTTTCCCGCAGCTTTTAGTTCGTAAGTGGGAGCTCACGGAGCTCTCAACCCAGAAAATGCATCTCATATCCGGCTGTATCGTGATAAAAGATGCTTTGTACAAGGCAAGAATGTAAGTGGGGATTATTTCTCATAGCAAAGGCTTTTCTCATGGTCGGCCTCAGCTCTTTGCAGTGCACGAAGATGCTCTTTTTGATGGTTGAAATGGCTCGACGTTCCCCAGCAGCGGCGAGGGAGAGCCCTGGACGCGCCATTTCTTCCGGGGCCCGAGGAAACGGGAGAGATGGCCATGGGTTGACTTACCCCTCCGTGTACTCTCTCAGGTACACAAGGGTCTCAGGGCAGAGATGGGGCTTAATCTTTAGATGGCGCTTGCCCTCCGCCCCCTGTTCCCCACGTGAGG